GGTGAGAGCTGTGAGGGGGGTGTGAGGAGGTGAGGGGGGTGTGAGGAGGTGAGAGGTGTGTGAGGAGGTGAGAGGTGTGAGGGGTGTGTGAGGAGGTGTGAGGAGGTGAGAGCTGTGAAGGGGGTGTGAGGAGGTGAGGCGGGTGTGAGGAGGTGAGGTGTTGAGGGGGGTGAGGGGTGTGGATGCTGTGGGAAGGTGTGCATCATGTATGTCATGTGTGTGGCCCACTGCAACCATGTGGTCACAGTGCATCTTTATCTGGCCCTCTTTCCATTTTCTTTCCCCTTTAAAAATTTTTACCATTTTTTGGAGCTGTAATTCACATACCTTCAGTTCACCCTTCTAAAGTGTACAATTCAGTGGTTTTTAGTATCTTTCCAAGGCTGTGCAACCATCACTATCTATGTCCAGAACACTTTTATCACCCCCAAAAGAAACCCCATGCCCATTAGCAGTCACTCCCTATTCCCCCTGCCCCCAGCCCCTGACACCCACCGATCTGCCTCCTGCCTCTGGGGATTTGTCTATTCCGGATATTTTATGTAAATGGTCCCTTTGCAGTTCCTGACCACTGGTAGGCACACCATGGGCACCCTAATCCAAGGAATCCTTCACTTTCCCCAACAAAGACCCATCTCACCCATCAAGTGCTGGGCTTTGGCCTGCGGGTGGCACTGGTGGCCTTCATTTCTTTGGGTCTTCTTGGCCTTCTCTGTGGTCTTCTGCCTTCTGCTGTCCCACTTCTGTTGTCAAAAGCACAGCCCCATGACGCCCACCCCCAATAATCATAACCATAAACCACATCTGCACTGAGCCCCGTTTGCACACCAGGCAATTACTGAGCCTAGTCGGTTCACCCAGATTGTCAACTCTGCCCATGACCTTCTCCCTTTTTGCACCACCAAAGGCTTTCTCGCTGGCAGCTCTTGCTTCCCACCCTCCAGCCCTGCCCTCTCCACCAAGCCCAGCTTCGCGTCACTGACGTCTTGCGGCACTTGCCTTGATACCTCCCTGCCTCCAAGCCTAACTTGACTCCCACCAGTGAAGGGAACCCCAGATTTTCCTGGTTCCTATTTTATCACTTCTATGAACCATCATGTCCTTCTTCCTATTATACACACGGGTGCAGTTGGCTCTGCTAACTGGTCTGGTTTGTGTCTAAAGAGGCTGTATTAGTTTCATATCACTACTATAACAAATTACCACAAATGCAGTGGCTCATAACAACAAAAATCTCTTATCTTAGGTTTCTGGAGGTCAGAAGCCTAAAATGGGCCTCACTGGGCTAAAATCACCATGTTGGCATTTGTGTTCCTTCTAGAGGCTCTAAGGGAGAAATCCATTTCCTTGCCTCTTCCACCTTCTAGAGGCTGCCCTCGTTCCTTGTTCTGTGCACCTGCCTCGCCATCATTCCATCCCCTTCTCTGACTGACCCTCCTGCATCTCTTTTTCACTTATGAGGACGCTTGTGATTATGCTGGACTCACCTGGTAATCCAGGATGCTTTCCCCACCTGCAAATTCCCTTTTGCCGCGTAAGGTCACATACTCACAGGTTCTGAGGATTAGGATTTGGACAACTTGGGGGGCGGGGGAGGCATTATTTTGCCTATTACAGATTCTAATTTCATTGGTCTGGGTTTTTTTTTTTGTTTTTTTTTTGCCACACCATGTGGCATGCAGGATCTTAGTTCCGCGATCAGGGATCGAACCCGTGCCCCCTGCAGGGGAAGCGTGGAGTCTTAACCACTGGACTGCCAGGGAAGTCCCCGTCCAGACTTTTAAAAGTTTCCAGATGATTCTAATGTGCAGGCAAGGCTGAGAGCCATAGCATAGTGCAGTAGGAAGCAAAGGCTATGGAGAGGGACCCAGCTGATTTCAATCCCCAGTTCTGCCTCTTAACTCTTTTATGGGCAAATGACTTCATTTATCTGGCCTTCTACTTCCTTCTCTGTAACACGGAGATAATAAACCCTCTCCTCTTCCCAGATGATCATGACGCCCTCTGCTTCTCCATGTCCATGGTGGGAGGCAAAGTTGTACCTGCTCAGACACAGCCACACACTTAGGCTCACACAGACATACAGACCCACATAAAGACACACAGACACACAAAAACACAACTTGCATCCAGGATATATAAAGAACTCTTACAACTCAAATAACCCAACAACAAAGCCCCTAAATAACCCAATTTAAAAATGGGCAGGGAATTCCCTGGTGGGCCGGTGGTTAGGACTGCTGGGGGCCCAGGTTCCATCGCTGGTGGGGAAACTAAGATTCTGCAAGCCACACAGTGTGGCTACATAAATAAATAAAATAATAATGGGCAAAGACAGTAACATTTACCCAAGGAAAACATGCAAATGGCCAATAAGTACATGAATGGATGCTCAACATCCTTTGTCATCAGGAAATTGCAAATCAAAGCCACACTGTGATCCCACTTCACACCCAAGAGGATGGCTATGATCTGAAAGACAGGTAACAAGTGTAGGTGACGATGTGGAGAAATAGGAACCCTCATACATTGCTGGTGGAAATGTAAAATGATGCAGCCTCTGTGGAAAACAGTTGGAGAAATGAAAACATATGTCCACACAAAATCTTATACAGAAATGTTCGCAGTAACATTGTTCAAAGAGGTAAGGGAGGAGCCAGGATACAGAGGTCTTTTTGCTGGAAAAACAAACAACAAAACATGTAGTCGAACATCAAAAGATTACTGCTAATCGCAAAGAACAGACACCTCAAGTTAATAACGTTAGTGCTTTTCTATGTATTGGAAGATGCAAGAGTCTGGGTTCATTGAAATTATTCCTTAGATATGTATCTTAACCATCTAGGCCAGTATCCAAAGCACAGAATGCTTCCTGTTTTTCTCCATCCTGAATTCCCCTCAGGGCTCACCGTCTGGAGGCATGCGCTGGCTGATGGCTTGCTCTTTGTCTATTGGAATGGCAGGCAACATTCCCCCAGTAGTTGTTTTGTATTCGGTGTCTCACTGGCTCACTCACGCATTCCCCATACGTGACGTGCCAGGAGATAGGGACACAGAGACGTGGACATGTGCTAATGGGGCTCCTGGCCCGGGGGGGGGGGGGGGGAGGGGGTGGGCTCTGAACAAAGACACAGGCAAAAGCCACACAAGGGATGTGCTGCCAGGGTTGGAGGGGCCGAGGGGGCCACGGGCCTCTGACTTGCTCAGGGAGTCACCCTGGAGCTGATGCTGAGGACAGGAAACGAGAACAAGCTGGGCTGTCTAAGGAACCGGAAGGAGGTAGGTTTGGTCACTGCAAGCTGCCTGGGGGATGACGAGAAATGAGCCTGGAAAGGTGGGCCATTGTGGGGAAGTGCAGGGGCTTCGAGGCTGGGCTTGAGGTTGGTTCTTACCTTGGTGGCCACAGGGAAGCCCTGAGCAAACTTGTACAGGAAGTGAAAGGCCCCCGCCTGTGATGGGAACAAGCTCGTGGCTCCCAGCAGGCATTTCCCCAACGACGTCTGGATTGAGCAAGGGCTGCCCAGTTCCCACGCTGCCTTTGCCTCGAGTTGCTTCTTCAGATGGGACCCAATCCTCCTGTTGTCTCCCAATACTCAAGGGGGCTTTATATTCCACACGTCTTGGTGCCCGCTGAAAGGGATGGATGGACTTCCACCACGCTGTCCTTATCTGCTACATCTAATATTTCCATCCTGAACAGTGAATGGCTTCCAGCTGGCCTTGGGCAAGCAGTTTAACCTCTCAGAATCTCAGCTCTAAGTGGGGATAGAAGTGCCTGCATCCCAGGGCCGCTGACAGGATGAGATGGGACAACACTTGCAAAGTGCTCACATAGTGTGGAAGCCTTACACCGGCATCACCGTCGCAGCTCATTTCAACAAAGTCTTCATGCTGAAGCTGAGGAGCGACACAGTTTTTAAAGAGCTGAACTTGGTGACACCACGTTTCAGCACACAGAGCTTCCTTTTTTGGGGGGGGGGTGGGAAACAGAAAACCACATGGCCCGGGTTAATGCAAGGCACAAAGGACTTAAAAAAAAAAATACCTTTTTTAAAAATAGTTTTTTTTCTTGTTTGTTTTTTTAATTACACTTTTCCCTTGGCGAAAACTTTGAAATGAGCTCTTCCAGGCCTGCTGAGTGGAAGACCATTCACACCTGTGGATCTTTCCTACCAGAGAGTGGGCACCCGCGGGAACCTGCACATGGGGGAGGATTCGGGGTGGCCGTGACTCCCCTTGAAGTTCACGGAGAAGCATCTCCAGAGGACAGGTCCCAGGCCCATACCCAGCTTTCTCATCCGACCAGGTGACCCTGTGTGGAGAAGTGCATGA